CAGCTAAACTATTAAAAGTGACATACAGAGAGACAGCAATACGGTCTCATCACAGATCATGTAAAACAGTTAAGCAGAGTCATCCACGGTGAAGCAGCAGCTAGCTCAGCCTCACCTCAGTTCTCCCCTGAGACGCTGAGCTGAGCTCGCTGCAGCCTCATCGCAAGCTCTCGCCTGACTATTTGAATGGTAAATGTGAAAAGTCTACAATTTTAATACCAAATAATGTAAAACTGGTGAAGTTAAATGGAAAATAACTTTATGGTACAGATCAGTAGGTAAATTACAAGCATTTAATTTATTTTTTCCTTTTACATTTTTTTTTCATGATGAGAGTGGTGAGGCTGTGCCTCACTTACCTCATCTGACTGCACGTCACTGTCACAATGATTTATCTTCATATACTGATAAAATTATATTTTGTATTTTTACAGCACTTTTAAGTGCTCTGAATGTTTTACATGGATTCTTGGAAGTCACAAAAAGTTTAAAGGTTAAGTTTTGGACTGACATGACTTTACTATCAGGTTAACTTCTGAGCATTACATTTTAACAATTCAGAGAAACTGGAAAAAATTAAGAAAAGTTTCAGAGGTGCAGAGAATAATCTTTATGAAGGAATTCAAAGGAGCTGGACCTTGAGAGCAGAAAACTCAAGAGGGGTAGGAGAGCACATTTCAATCGCTGAAATAATTTCACACAGAAGAAAGTCAAAATCTGTTCCTTAACACTATAAAGGGCAGGGCATTGAGGAATGGATTTCAAGTATGGGAAGGAATACTCCAAATGAATGTTACAAGAATTGAGGGGGCTGAACCTGACTTCCCCACAAGCTAACTTGAAAGCTAATTAAACAAGCACAGAGAAATCTAAGTCCTGCAAAGTCACATTAGAGGAAAACAGCAGCCTACAAAAATGATTCCAGCAAATGCAGTATATCAGAAGCAAAACCTTAATATAAGGTTGAAAGTTATTAATGAATGTAATATATATTTGTTTGCTTTGTACTTCTGAAGTTATACAGTGGGCCACTCCATCTTCGTTGGCGCAGGGAATGTAGTCTCAGTCTCTCCCTCCCTCCCTCCCTCCCCCCTTCTCTTTCTCTCCAATAAGCTCCCATTAGAGACTTAAAGATATAGTTCTCTTTTGCAACTATTCCTCCATTGCAGAAATTCCTTGCACTTATCATAAATAATTCTCACTGATACAACCCCTCCATCAACAGTTCTAGGAGCTATAGATTTGTCCACCTCTTTGTATCTTTTTTAAAAATCCAACCTATTAATTCCACCTTGAAGTATTCAGTTAAGTGAAGTATATAAGGAAGCAAAGTGAACCGTAATTTAAAAAAAAAAAACTCAAAAGCTTAAAGTAATGATTACTTACCTATTTAAAAGCTTTCCAAGATTCCTGGTTTTGTATCTCACTGCAATTTTAAAAATTTGTCTTTGATGGCTTCCTGCAGTCAGCAAGTCATATTAAAAAAAAAACACATTATGAAATAAAAATGACAATTCCATTACGTCCAGGGGCTGATTTAAAATATGTTCTAACTTTATTTCAGGGAGAAGAAACCTTGAGAACTGAAGATATCCTTGATATAATTGAGAAGGAAGGAGATTCAATTGCTGTAATTCTTTTCAGTGGAGTACAGTACTACACCGGGCAGCTATTTGACATACCAAGGATAACAAAAGCCGGTCAAGCCAAGGTATAATTAATTACATGTTCCTTAGATCAGTATTCCCAAAACCTGACAATGTGTACATGAGTCAATTGAGTTGGCCAAGTCTGGGAATTGAAGTTACTAATACTTCTAGATTTGAATTTTCCCTAGGCTCTATTAGACTTCTTTTTGTGGAGTAGGAATTGAAGAAAAATGTCAGTCAATACGGTGACAATAGAATTTGTCTCTGGTGCATAAGCTCACAGTGCACATACAAGCAGCAAGTGATAAATCATAATCATAAAATACAATCATGATAAATCATAAACTAGAACACTCAGTGATAGTTATAGGATGCTACATAAGCATTCAAATAAATCATAATAGAATACTAATAAAAGCAATCAACATAAATCATAGAAACAATAAAGTTATTATCATAAGAAGCTAAGGAAATAGATAATAGGAAAGATGAGAAGGATAATAGTAATGCAGCCCTACTAGGGGGTTTGACATCCCAGGGCATAAGACAGTGTTGTGGCAATTAGTTGCAGAGTGATAGGAAAGGGGGGTATGTGTGGAAACTTTTCTTATGGCTAGTTGTTTTGGCAAGCTCCAAATTTGCAATAGGAATAGAAAAGAACGAAGGTAAAAAATGGAAATGTCTTGGAGCCTTAGGTAATGACACAGCATAGTACCCTAATAATGCAGTCCTCGCTGAATGGCTACTCACTTAACAATTTAAAACTATGACAGGCTTCAAAAAAGCTACTTATGACCCGTCCACTGAAGTTACAGTGTACACACACAAACACCACAGTCATATCATTGCATTTCACCACAGTCATATCATTGCATTTAGCAAAACAGTTTCCATTTACAACTGTAATTACCACTTTTTTGCTGATTTTCAGTACCAAAAAGGGAAAAATAATGCCCATTTAATATGCTGCATTCATTTAATGATTCACTTAACAATCATAGTGACTCATTTTACAACCATCATAAAAACAGTCATAAAATTGAGTCAGTTCCTGCTTAACGATTGCAACGATTTAACGATCAAAATTCTGGGCTCAATTGTGATTATAAGTTAAGGACTACCTGTCTATTTTTAAAATTCAGTTGTGTAATTAATTTCTAAAAATTACGTAATTGATAAAAGGCCCAAATTTTGTACTCTGTAGAGGTTGTTTTCCTAACTCTAACATAAAATTTTGGACTATATTGGAAATTCACCACATTGCTCTTCAGTACTGAACCAAGTCTAACTAGTGGTTTGTACCGATCCTTTCAAGAAATACATTCAGTAATCACATGCTCCAAATATAGGTTTCTGTGTGTTTTCCTTCTGTGATTTCATATCATTGGCTAGTCTTAGGGATGTGCAAAACCCATTCTACAAGATTCTACTCAACAATCGTTTGCATCACTTCCTGAAGGTACTAGGGAATGAACGTAGAAAACATAGAAACATAGGCATTTACAAAGTGCATCAAAGGTACAATTCTCTAGCTCCTAAGAGAATGTATATTGGTTTGTAGCCCTTAATGCAAAAATATATCTAGGATCACGGAAGGGAATCTAATAACAAATAACTTATGCCACCCCACTTAAACTTCAACCCACATTTCTACAAAAGAATAGACTCTTTAGTCCTCTGATTTATACAGTTTAAATTTAATTTATTCCAAAGAAGTCCTTTTTAAAATTAATTTGTATGATTATTATTCTTCCTACACCAATTCCTTTCTGTAAATTCTTTGTTTTTAAGCTTTCTGTGAAATTATTGGAAACATACATTCCTTTTAGACTTATCTTCAATCAGTGACTGAGTTTTGTAAATTTCAGCAGAGCATACAGATGCTAGCAGTAACTGTTAATTTTGGGCAATCATATAACAACAAATCCTTTGGTGTTGTTCACTGTAATATTTTGCCACAATGTAAAAAAGATGTTGCGACTCTAGAAAGAGTGCAGAGAAGAGCAACAAAGATGATTAGGGGACTGAAGGCTAAAACATATGAAGAACGGTTGCAGGAACTGGGTATGTCTANAAGGTTTAGATAGGACTCTTAGAGGTGGGTGGGGCGATTGGTGAGCCAGCCAATCAGTGAGCACCGGGCGGGGCAAGCATGGTGTGGACGGGCAGGAGGAGGGAGCTAGAACCGGTTCTAAGCATCACCATAGAGTTGTGGAACCTCTTCTATAGAAGAGGTTAGAACTGTCAGGAACCCACCCTTGTTTAGGACAGAATTTACAAATTTGCAATAGAGCAAGCGAATTGAGAAAAAAAATTGTTTTGCATTTGAATTCCTAAAGCATCTTCAAGTCATTTTATTTCCTATTGCAAGAAAAAAAATTATGAAGAAATATGCTAATTGTTTTCACTGCCCATAAGAAAATATGTAGAACATCTGGATATCTGATTGTGTGATATAAAGATAAACTTATATGTATCGATTATTTTGTAAGAGCCATTGTGGTGCAGAGTTTAGAATGCCAGCTCAAAGTTGACTGATCCTTCCATCCTTCCGATGTCAATAAAATGAGGAACCAGACTGCTGGGGGCAATATGCTGACTCTGTAAACTGCTTAGAGGGGGCTGAAAAGCACTATGAAATGGTATATAAGTCTACGTGCTATTGCTATCTTTTCAGTGAGTTAATTAATATTTCATTTCAGATAATATAAATCTGTTTTATTTTTACAGTTGACATTTTTTAAGCCTACGTTCTATCGCCATAAAATCCTTTTAGAAGCCAAAGCATTTCCTTCTGATCATGTAAGCAATTAATATTTCAACATATTTATGCTCTACAATTTTGTAAGTTGCCAAAAAAAAGGTAATCTTACCTGATTATTTATTAGATGCTGTTATTTTTTTAAAAATAAACCTTTAAAATCCCAGTTAGGCACAAACTTTTGAGTGACATTTTTTTTAACTGATTGGCCTTTTTTGTTGTTGCTGTTCAAATAAAAATTGTATGGGAGTAAAAGATTGAATTGCCACACTGATTGATTAGTCTTTTAAAGATACTGAGCAAGCTATTGACCTAAATCAACAACAGGTTGTAAATGTTTTATTAATTCTTGTTGCTGTTTTACTTTATGAAACCAAATCAATACAAAGCTCACACCATTAACAGTTTTATATCCCCAGACAGATAGAGAAATTCTTGTTGAGGATGCTTTGGATTACTAAGTCAAACATTTGTGTGCTACACAGTAGGACAATAGCCAATGCATCACAGATTTAAACACATTAATCTTCATATTTGTGAGTCACCACTGATAACTCAAACTTAACAAAATGCTTAAAAATTAATGAGAAATTTGTTCAATTAAACATTATAACATTTCCTCCAGTAGACTTATCATACGGAATAATGCAAATCAATTGGATTTTTTAAAACAAAAACAAATAATTGCCATTCATAAGTTGCATATAATACAGTTTCCATTTTTCAAGGTAATATGTTTGGGAAAAATATTACCGTATATATATATATTCAGCATTCAAACAGGGCCATTAAATCCAAAAGACTATATAGAATGTAATTGTACAACTGGAAAAAAAAGTTGCTGATGTTAACATGGGATACCAGCTCCAGACATCCAATCCTAATTCTTCCAAGTAACACTGTCTGCAAAAGGAAATCATAATAGTGCTTTGTTCTTCCCAAAGTAGGAAAGAATTAGAAGGAAAAAGGAGACCTTCCCTTTGAGCCTTTTCTATGCTATGATCCAGCATTGCTAGTGGCTCTTTGGGAACAGGCAAGCAGATTATATCTGAAGTAATTGGCCTTCCATAGCCCAATCATAATGAGAGAGAAATGAGCAACCCAGATGATTAATATGCTGTTCCTCATCAAAAGGATCTGCTATTTTTGACATCTCCTAACCTTTCGATATTGTCCAAGGGGATCACCAATAACTTTTGTCCCCAAAACAAGTCCTAGGAAACCCAACCCTGCTCAATATGCAAAACCACAGGCAAGGTTGAACATCCCAAAGGTGCTTTTTTAAAAGGTATCTGAACTTTATTTTTGTTTGAACTGAATCTTCTTTATGAACTGAAGTAGCTTCTTGGGTGAGAAGTGAAACATCTTCAAGAAAAAACAAAGTCTAATTGTCTTGAAAAGGCACCTTTGGGACAATCATGACCTGGATGACTGAGAATCTCCACAGGCATGGTTGGACAAGTGCTGTCACATACTGGGACTATGTATCAAGTTATCTGGATTCACATATGGTGTGGCTCCCTAATCTGTGTTATAAAAATATAGATAATACCAAGGTAGGCACACTCTTTATTACCATCTAATGGTCTACTGAATATTTATTCCAGGTCTAGTAGCCATAAAATATGTCATTGTAAACAATGCTGGAAGGGATATGAGCACCACCTCCTAGAGTCAGGAATGACTAGCACATATGTGCGAGGGGAACCTTTACTTATGTCTCATTCAGTGTTATCTACTCTGATTCACAAAGACAGGCATTTCACCCTGCCTACTATTTCATCCTTTAAATCACGAATCCCGGTTATTTAATCTGCTGTAAAATTATTTCAGGCAGACTTTTGCATATCCTGGATCTAATGTATTAATTAATTGTTGACATTTATAACAAAATGATTTTTGTTTTGCTTTTACGTCTGTTCACTTTTTTAAAATTATATTTTTTTTCCCCACAGTATGCTGTTGAGTCTCAGCTCCAGATTCATGGGCTTGATAGGGAGAAGAGTATGCTTATGATTCAATCTCGAAAGGTTTGTGGAACATGGTTTGCATCATACTAGACAACTCATGGCCTTCAGCATGCATGAAGCCCTCAGCACACCACTTAAAGCATAAACAATGGTACCATTGTATTTTCGCAGCAAAGTGGCCAAATTTCACTGAGACTATTTTTCTTCAGCAACAAACCATTGTTGATCCTCCTGAAACTCCTACTCAAAAATGTCCCATGGTTACAGTTTTTTCAGGCCAGTTATGGCCCTTTTTTCTTTTTCTGAAGTTTTGGTCAGATATTGGAATAGG